ATTCGAGTCACGAGATCGTTGTAGTTCCCAGTTCTCGCTCGTAACGCTTCCAGTCTCGGTTTGGCGCTCAGGTACTCTCGAAATTTCCGATAATTGACGGCCTCGGAAAGCCTTTGTTGTTTATATTCAAAAATTTGAAGATGACATGATAAAACTATCAGTTAACAAAACAAAGTGCACTGGATTCGATTTGGATTCTTTAGATTTTGATTTGAATATTTGATTTCGGCCAGAAAAGTTACCGGTGTTACAGTGATATGGGCATCCCCGCGTTTTGGGCATCCCCATTCCCAAAACCCTAGGGATATGGGCATTCTCTTCTCATATTACCTTTCCGATTTGGGTTAGCGATAGGGTTAGGGTTACAGGGGATGCCCATATCACTAGAGTTTGGGAACCGCGAAATCCTGGCAAAACAGAGAACAAAATGGGGATGCCTAAAACGCGGGGATGCCCATATCACTGTAACACCGGGACTTTCGAGAAACGGGGGGGGGGGGGCGCTAGACAATAAGCCTGTTTTCAAAATCCCAGCTGAAGACAACAAACATGGCTTTCGTCTTTTCACACTGTGCATATATTCTCTGCTTTTTGCAAACCATTGAGCTGGATCGTGGGCACGGCTGCTTGATATTTTATCGTTTGTAAAATGTAAAGCTCGCCTCTGTTTCTGATTTATGTAACGGACATGTCCTCCACAGTAATGGGTCAGATGGTAGCTTTTCACTTTCACCATATTTTTCACGCTAAGTGGGCCCTAATTGGTAAAAAAAATGTACGTTATTTGAGTGTCAATGTATTTAACAGGAAAGTACTTGGGGACACTATTTTTAAATCTCCTTGTGAAGACGGGACCGCCATTTTGAAACGTGGTCATCCTAGCCATGCGAAGGTCTACCCGTTTGCAGTGCATGGCAGAACCTTTCTTTCTCACTCACTTTTAAGACCCTAAGTATTGGTCCGGGCCCGGGAATCGAAACCGCGACCTCCCGCTCTGCTGTCAAGCGCTCTACCGACTGAGCTACTCCTGCCGCTGTTAAAATGGTGCTATGGAATATTAAAACATTTTACTTTTTTCTCTTTCTTCTCCTTTTTTCTATCATACTATGAGTATACAATGTGGTAATTTTTAGAAACAAGTTGAGGTGCTTTCATCTACTAGCAGAGTTTTTCACTTTTCACCCTTTGTAAGTGTTACAAATCCGTGCAGGGTTTGTAATTCTGACTGAGCTTCATCTAGCCAACCAAGTGACTCTTATATCCATTAGAAATTAAGATTACTAGCTAATACCAGTCTGAGCTGCTAGCTTATGTTCCAACACAGCAGCTGAAAAGATTGTTAGCACTGTTACTGAAAAAAGCGAACGGGTTCTAGGCATCTGGACAGCTGGAATGCTATATCATGACAACTGATAGACAAAAGTAAACATTAGGTGTGTTTCACCTTAAGACGGACTTTAGAAAAATACAAACTGATGAGAAACAGGTTTCAATAATAGCATATTGCATCACGATTTTTTGCTTCCCATCCTGAATAGAGTAGATTTTTTAACCAGTATTTCGCAATTGCGCATTAAGAGAATGTGGAGATCGAGAAAATCTTTCTTAAGCTAAGCTTTTTATTGTTATTCTTTCTGTCTTTTTCATAAAGCAAAACACACTCAAATTTTAAACAAATTTAACCAACTGTATTTTGTAAAACTCTTAGCAAACACAAAGTTGACAGTATTTTGTCACTGCTGACAACATAACGCGCTTTTTAAATTGGCGCACTCCTTCTCTGTTAAAAGATTTAGAGAATGAAGCTAGCTATTCTGATTGTTTTTGTGGTTGGGCTAGTCATCCAGGTCCACGGTAAGATGATCAATCATAATCAGTAAATATACTATTTTTTTTTGTTTTGATTTTTGGTGTAATCAGTAGCCCACTATGTATCCATATGAAATGTTAAAACCAGGTCGAAAAAGGAAAACTATGATGAAAAGAAAAAAAACTTTACAAGATTATGGTGTGTAAAAGTGTACTTAAAACTGAAGATCTAGAAATTCACATTGACATTTTGTAAAGCACTGTATATATTTTTTTGTTTTGATTTTTGGTATAATCAGCAAAGTTGTAATAAAAACATAAGCTATTAAAAAGCAAGCCATTTTAAAAACGTTTGGGGTACAGGGGTTCTTATTGGTATATCTGATCAATTTTCCTTTATACCTTGGAAGCGAACTATGTATTGCAGGATGGCCTTTATACTTGAACTTGCAAGAAAAGGATGGTCACTAGGAGCTCATCTAAACTATTAAAACGTTTTCACTTGATAATATGTCTATTCATGATCAAAATATAATCATACGCAGCCTCTTCTCCCTTTTTTGTGGGAATTCAAGAGCACTTTCAGTGGTCCTGTTGAGGTGGTGATGTTCAATATTATACAACTATCTCCCGAAGGGGAGGTGAATAGTGGTGGTATTACAGAGACGCGAAGCGTCGTGGTATATATCTAGCGCTGTTCACCGACCCTGAAGGGGTAGCTGTTTTAGTATTTACCAAATCAGTTGGATAAAAATGAAAACAAGTGACTTTTTGTAAATTAAAAAAGGTCACTCTGTAGGAAATGTGTTTAAAATTTAAAAACATTTCGGGGATTTTGTCAAGTGCGTTTTTACTATTTTGTTGCAAATTCAAAATGAAAATAATTTTCTACCTACCAGTAAACACTGACAAACCAAGGTTCCTCGCTTCCTTGGTATTTGTTTGTACGACTGCTTCAATTATCGCTCAAATTTCGTCTTTCGAAAATGCCTCGAGACGAGACGCCATCTTGGCTCCGGTTGCAAAACACTGAATAGCCAAGATATTCCGAGTTACGGGAGCCACTGATTTGGTAAATACTAAATATGTATATTAATAAATCTATTCATGATGAAAATAAAATCATAAACAGCCTCTTCTCCCCTTTTTTGTGGGAATTGAAGAGCTCTTTCAGTGGTGCAGTTGGGGTGGTGATGTTCACTCGGTTATGATTTCTTGGGTTCTATTTTTTGTTTGCGGCACTCTTAGGTTGTGTTCAAACTTTACTGGATAGCGCTTTCGCGCCGCCACGAAAATCATACAGGATAGGGCTTCTGGGGCCCTTTTCTCGAAAGTCCCGCTAACTTTTCGGGCCGAAATCAAATATTCAAATCGAAATATAAGAATGAGGGGGCGGGTCCTGGCTAACCTGAGATCAGGCGTTATTTTTTTTTTTGCTTCTTTGCTTCTTTGGCTCGAGAGGGAAAAAAAATAACGCCTGATACATTTATTTAACAAGCAGTCAACCGCCCCCTAATTTACATAATCTAACGTCTGCTTCACCTGTCATGTTATTAGCCAATAAGCGTTTACCATACGGGAATCAAATTATGGCGCGAATAATTTTTTGAAATCAATTTTAGGGAAAAGAAAATTTTTAAGTAGGTCCATGTTCAGATGGCGCTTCCTAAAAAAAATTTTTAATGAGTTGTTTTTGTGATGAAATACTGCTAGCTGGAACTGCCGTACCTTCATTTAACAGCTACAAATAATAAAGAATTTACTGGTTAAAGCTCGTTGACTTCGTTCTGTGCTGAAAGCGGTGAAAAAAATTAGGCTGAAGCACCATATTTCACGAACTGAAAGGTGTTGTGGAAGCAAAGATCGCTCAGAATAATTCGCAGCATGATTTCTGAAGGAGGAATTACAGTCAAACCAGGTCAAGATTCCATTTATGAATTGATTATTTGAAAAGTGAACCTGTTTGTCGCTTCTGTAACTTGTAGCCGGTATCAAATTGCATTCAAATGATCGGTGAAGTTTTGACTGCAACTTTTTTAGTATACGATGAGATGGAAAATATTTCAATGGATGAAACTTCTATTTAGGCATTCTTCAAATTCAAGAAAACTGAGCCGGCAGAAATTTCATAACGAACTCGCGTGTGTATTCACTGCTCATTTCGCAAGCAAAAATGCAGACTGAAATCAACAACAACTAACGGATGGCGGCATTTTGGCCAATCGGAACAGCGCAAATCATCCGTATTGTTTCCTATCCAATCAGAAAAAAGTCCAGATTCTGGCTTTTTTACATGTGATCCGACAAAGAAATGTATCATGCCCTCTTCCCGTGAGAGACATAAAGGGATAATAGGGAGAGGGCATGATCTCAGGCTAGGTCCTTGCTAGCCGAGCAAACTACTCCATTTTGTTTCATTAGCTGATAGTTTTATCATGATAGATGCAAAACTATTGAAACCTCGATCTTTAATGTAAACGGAGACAGCTTATCGGGCAAGTTAACTATCGGAACTTTCGAGAAACGGGCCCCTGGTCACGCATAGAAACGGTTGTGTTGGCGCGATTTATGTGACGGAGCGAAGCTGCGCCACGCCAATCTCTAAAGTGGAGAATCACATATCGGATAGGTGTCCATATTATAGCGGAAAACTTTTAGCGGTATAATGTGAACATAGCTCAAGTCAACCTCGTCCCCAGGGCGCTTTTCCATAGCTTTGGAGCCGCCCCACCTCCAAGGCCCGGGAAAAGCGCCCTGGGGAAGAGGTTGAGCTCAAGTAACCCGAGAAATAACTTTTGGTTTTAATCTTTGAAAGGGGGGACGTGAAAAAAGTAGCAAAAGTGTATTGTATTCCTTTGTTTTCAAGGCAAGGTGGTTGGGAGTAGCATCTTAAAGGTTTGTCTTCGAGTATGCCGGACTCAAAGGGATCAGAGCCATGAAAAATGTTTTGAAAGTAGTACTCTCACCTAGTCCAGAATCAAGATCCTTAATTCGCCACTTTAGAAACAAGAAGGAAACTCTCGCAATGATTTTGGGACTGTTGCTAAGGGCCAGCCAATAGCTGACTGGCGTGTAACCAGTAACAATCCCACAAACAATTACGGGACATATTTCGGCTCCAGTCCCCTTCTCGTTTCTAAAGAAGCCAAGCTCTCTTTTTTATCTAACATCAAATATTTTATCTTTAAGCCTTCTACTGCAATTTTGACCGCAACCAGTGTGAATTTGTTCAGCGACGAGATGACAAGTTTGACTGGGTCAGAATAAGAGGCATGACACCGTCAGGCGGAACAGGACCTGAATCTGATGTTAGCGGAAGAGGTAAATTTAGTAAAGACGATATAATGCAAGGGAAATAATCGCATGCCCATGGAGGATAAGCTTGAAATAATGCTGCTACCTCGTTCGGAAGGAAGATAGCAAGGCAAAGTGGTCGTTATTTTACCTACTTTCACTTATGTTTTAATAAAACAAAGGTTATCTTAATTCATAACTTACTTTTTTCTAGGTTATTACATGTACGTAGAGGCATCCCGACGAAGGAAAGGTGACAACGCTAAGCTAGAACTGAGATCTGGTTTACCTACTGGCAAAACATGTCTGTCATTCTTCTACAACATGCATGGAGGACACAACTATGTGGGTACACTTCGTGTTCTCATAAATGGAGAAACTGTTTTCCAGAAAAGCGGAAATCAGGGAAACACATGGCACAAAGCTGAACTTACTTATCGCGAGGGCATATCGTCGGTAAGAGTACAAAAGGAAGCTAAAGCGTATGTGTATGTTGCATGAGCAGTGGCTCACGACATTTGAACATCAGCTCTGGTGTGGCAAAAAACCACACTTCGTCTTGATCAATAAAACATGCAGGAAAAAACAATAATTTGACCAATATCAAACCAAATGACCGAACAAGCTTGATCAATGACACAAATATACATGAAACGTCTGTCTTCTTCAGAGCTAGTAATACGAGGAACGGGTCGGACAACTTACTTTTGAGAATGTAAAATAATAATTTAAAAGTTATAACTTCAAAATTTCAAAATGACACAATGAAGTGACCGAGGGATGGCGTTTCCCAAGGGTTATAAACAGCCTTTTTAATCATACGTTTGGAAGATGGTGCTAGAATAATGGCGTATTTCAAAAGACTCACTTGAGTAAAAGTAGCGACATCGCAGAGTTAAGCTAAGTATTTGAAATGTGCCAAGTGTTAACCTTAACAAGTAGAAAAGTGATGGGTGGTATCACCTTCTTAACATGCAAGCATGTAAGGATGCGGGTTGCTCTTCTCCTGGTATGTAAACGAAAGTTATGCTGGGGGTAGCGCTTAAGAAGACTGGCATCACTCTCAGAGAGAGAAGGTGAAGGAGAAAGTATCTCTGTTGGTGATATATCTGTTGGTTATATCTTCAACTGTGTTCAAAACTAATAGCTGTGATACTATAGAGGTAGCGTTAACTACGAATCCACTTATAGCATTGGTGTTTTGGCTTAATATTTATCCGCTTCTCTTTCATCTGACAGGTTGTGTTTGAGGGTGTTGTTGGTAGGGGCTACCTTTCAGACATTGCTATCGATGAGATCAAGACAGAAACCTGTGGGGGAGAGGGAGGAGGTGACGGAAGTAAGTACCCTCAATCCCGCTTTCTTTCATGTCTAGAAATTACAAAAACAGCCAAACATTATGAATGTATAACAAATTTCATACGTCGCTTTCATCAACAGCTGTTCCACCACCTTCACAACCAAGCACTACAACAAAAGCGCCAGAGACACCGCTTCCTCCTTTCGGTAAGTTACCAAGAAATTTGCACCCAAAATTCTGCACGCTACTCCATCAGCGGAGGTCGCTAGGACATTAAGCACCAGCTCATCTCTTAGATAAGACTCTGCCCAAAATCAGATGCAAATGTTATTTTGTTAGGTAATTGTGGCATTCGTCCCTCTACAAGAATTGTTGGTGGTGTGGACTCATCTCCTGGAGACTGGCCATGGCAGGCCATGTTGACGTCATCTCCAAATGGTTACGTGTTCTGTGGTGGATCATTGGTTGCTCCTCAGTGGCTAGTTACAGCTAGTCATTGTGTTAAAGGAACTTCGGCAGGCTCCATTTACGTTCGGTATAAGTCATTCATTTTATCTATTTCTAGCTTAAATATTGAGCACCCTTTACCTTCAATCTGGTACTCTGTTATGTATATGTACATCACCTAATGCCTACATCAATATATATTATGGATATAAGCGGGTTAAAATGAAGTTTATTCGGTCCGTACTTAGCCATATCTAGAGACTGTAATCTCACCAAGCAAGAAATTCTGACAAAGGAAAAGCCCAATAACAATCCTCACGAGACAAGATTTTCATTCAATTTTTTCATTCGTGACGACCGCTCTTGTTGGTAAACCATTTCTAAATGTCCTAGTTTATTTTACTTTCTGTAACAGCTTTATTGCAGTTTTTGCTCATGGGAGCTCGGTCTTGACGCGTGGATAAATCCACCTCGTCAGTTGGTATGCCATGGTCCAGGTAGTATCCGGTGACTTAAACTTTAAATTGCACTATAATTAGGGGTTTATAGTCAGGGCACTTTGCACTTCTATTATGTTAATATTCTTTTTCCTTTCTGAAAGACTTGGCGCCCATAAAAGAACAGACACTGTGGGTACAGAACAAGACTTCAGAGTAACTAAAGTGATCATGCACCCCTTTTATCACAAACCCATTGGTATGAGCCATGACATTGCCCTTCTCAAACTGGACCGACCGGCAGCGCTGAACAAGTAAGCTCAGTAGAAACGTAATGCAATCGTAGAATATGTTAAATTTTCGGAATAACAACTTGTCTATCTATGGCGTAAGGACTGTCAAACAGATTTTTTTAAGAAAGTGCGAATTGCTAATGACTGGTTTTTGTCACTGGATTTTACATAAACGGGAAGTGTGGCAGGTTAGGGTGGAAAATAGAAAACGAAACAAAAAGACAACAGATCCAGGTGGGGACAATTGAAACCAAGACAGCCCAATCAAATATCTATTCCACCCACCCCGAGATTCATTTCAGCACATAGGTCAATTGTTCCTAGAAAGTGGACCATGTGGCCTAAAGTAAGGTAGCCTAATCAGGCTCTTGAAAACAGCCACCAGTTGGCACCTAAAAAAAATCTTAGTAAGGGTTTACACGTGTTTAATGATAAATGACAAACTCGCAGACTTGCTTTTCATGTATTTCAACAATAGGTTCGTCAACTTGGTATGCCTTCCAGGATCCGTTCCAGCTCCTGTAGAAGGCAAGAAATGTTGGATCACCGGCTGGGGAAGGAACAGACCCATTGGAGGCTCCAGTCCAGTTACCTTACAACAGGCGTCGGTGCCTATTGTTGGCAGAAACCGCTGTGAATGGGCTTATCTTGGACGGGTTCATGACTCCATGATCTGCGCTGGTCTGGATCGGGGCGGTATTGATTCCTGTCAGGGAGATAGTGGGGGCCCGATGGTGTGTCAGGAAGGCAGGAGATTTTACCTTCAAGGAGTGACAAGCTGGGGTCAGGGATGCGCTAGACCAAATAAGTATGGCGTATATGCAAGAGTGAAGTATGTTATGGGTTGGCTCAAAAAAGAGATGACCAGTAATTAGTTATCACCTCTTGAAATCCATGTTCTTCTTGATCTGAAATATGATTTACCGGAAAATAAAAACGCTTTTAAAATTTTCATGATTTGTTTTTTCTTGAAGCTCGATTTTTGTTTTAGAAAAATAACCTTACCTTATAGATAAGAACTGGAATTGTCGATATAGGGAAAGACACCCAAAAGTCGCCGCATACCACATTCTCTTCAGGTTTGGGTGAGAAAACAATAAACAAACAAGAGAAACAATGGACCCTAACATATAGAGATTAATGCCAAAGATCTTCGTGACAACAAGCTATGGGGGACTTTTGTGTTCCTTTGTAGATCTCTACACGCTACACGAAGTCTCTATAGTTGGCTTCATGCGGCGAAGCATGCAATAACTAGTCTTTATGCCATTTCGAGACCATTCTTCCAGGAAAACGGGTGAATTTCTCCAAGAGCGGCGGGCAATCGATTCTGGTGTGCACGTGGCGAACATTTTACTTTGTCAATAGTATCACATCCACCACTTTCAAGGCCAGTCGTAAAAGTAGTAAAGCGAATTGTACCTCTGTACGTTTCACTTTCATAACTACAACAAGCAAGTGAGCCTTAAACGGCGTAGAAAAAACATCCAAGGGATTTAGGGGTCAAACTTTATTCCTAACCTCCGACTAGATAGCTCCTTTGTAGCTAGTCATTCACTTGCTTAAAAAAAATACCGCCATGATGGAAAGAAAGGGACGAACTTGGACAAGACAAAGAAAAAGCTTCTGTGATTTAAAATGGGAATTTACTTTGTTTGCCTGGTCCCAGTGCATATCTTGCCAGTATCCAGTATCCAGTATGGCGGTTTTGTATTACGTGAATGACTGGTCTTCCTACTGAGTCTGGGGCGAAAATGTAGCAAAGGGACGGCACTTTAGAAGAGACATTGTGACGAATAATATAAGCGTATCAAACTTTGCCTGTGGTAAAGGTTGCATTTTTGGAAGACAATAGTGCTTAAAGATTCAGAAGGACGCCTCTCTACAAGTGCTTATAGAAAAACCTACGCACACTGATCAGTACCTGTCTTATGACTCACACCACCCTCAATCAGTTAAAAGCAGTGTTGTCAAGTGCTTATACGATCGATCGATAAATATCATCACTAAACCATCGGCTACTTCTAAGGAAAAGAAGCATTTAACTTCTGTCCTTGTCTCTAACGGATACCCCTATTCGTGTGTAACTAACATCACAAAATCCAAGAACCGGCCGGCATCTTACAAGGAACCCGCAACCGAAATTAAATCTACAGCGGTTCTGCCATACATCAAAGGTTTATCTGAACCACTTCGTCGTTGCCTACAACAGCATGGCGTACGATCTGTTTTCAAATCCGATGCAACACTAAGAGCGCACTTAGTGCCACCTAAGGATCCTGTGGATCGGCATGAAAACAAGATGGAGTAGTGTATAACATTCCTTGTGAATGCGGCAAAGTATACATTGGCGAAACAGGAAGGTGCATGCATGAACGATAATTATGGGGAAATGAAACTTTATTAAAAAACATCCCATAAAAGATTACAGTATACAAGCATAACATAAAAGTCATCACAAAATCATTGATAGCGGAGCTCCAACCGCGCGCGAAGCACGCGCGTGGGCGGAGCCCCATAGCTAAGGAAATGTGGTAATCTACCCATCCCAGAAAATTTGGTAATCACGTGACCGTACACCGAGCGAGCGAGCGATCGAGCGAGCGACCGTCCGTCCGCATCACAGGCATACCAATGTAAAATAACTCAATCAACAGGTATGGGAACCCAAATGGAACTCAAGGTTTTATTTGGAACGAAATCACGTGGCCGCCCGGACTTTTAGAAAGAAAAAAGTCGTGTCTTTTTCGGCGTTATTTCTTACGTGTACACTAACGTGGATAACAGAGAAAGAGCTAGAGCGAGTTATTGAAAATTCGTAGGAAGAAAAACATGGAAATTCAAAGCGGCTGTGAGAAAATGAGAAATGCTAGCGGCCATCAAGGTGAAAATGAGCAGCAGTGAAAAATAAAAGCGAACATGAACACTGGAAACAAAATATTGGGTAAGCACATACGACAATTTCTCCATAAAAATAATGTGTAACTAGGAAGTTTGACGTTTTAGTCGTACAAAACAGCGTTGTAGTCGTGCAAAACAACGGCAAGGGAAAGACAAAAAGTGTGCTGCACGTGCAATTTGTTTTTCTGCTGATAAGATCTATTAGTCTTGAAGCCATTTTCATTGTCGTCCCCCGTTTAGCATTACACGATTTAATTTTTTTGTTTACAAGTATTATTAACCAGAGCTTCGCTTTTAGCCCTGGCTAAATCTATATATTAAAAATGCATGAACGGATTAAGGAGCACGGTAGGGATACACGGCTTTCACGAACTCAAACTTCGGCCGTTTCTGAACACGTCAATAAGACCGGGAGGCAGGCTATCCACTTAAGACTTCACCCTAACAACATCAACGAGGACAGTGGAATTGAGATTCCTGAAGCGTGGATGCATACAATCAGACATCATGACAACCAGGGCGCTTTTCATTTAGGTAAAAAAAAAACCGGAAATTTCAGTGGGAACAAAAATGGATTATCTGATAGGTAAAAAGTTGTTCCATTCGATCGTAAACCCCAGAACGGCGCCGAGCCCGTTATTGATGTGACACCAAGATGGCCGCCAAATAGGTAACAATGCAAACTGGTATAAAGTACGAGAAACGTGTAATTGAACACGAAATTCCGTTCGGAAAATTCCAACCGAGATAACGGGCCTACCTTTTTAGATTTTCCACTTTTTCAGGGAATTTTCCAGTGGGACGAACCGACGAAACGTTTTCCATTTTCTACCGAACCGAAATTTCCGAAAATTTGGACTAAATGGAAAGCTCCCCGATCTCCACCGCAGCGGACCGCTGAGGGGCCAATTTCTTCCTCTCACAATTCCAACAATGCTTTGGATCGAAACCCACCAATTATGAGCGAGGTTTGTGATACACCAATCACTAACAACCACGGTGGTACAAATAGTTCGACTCATGGGGTGTTTACATGAGAAAATTCGCACCGGCGCGAGTTTCATACCGCGATAACTTTGTGATTTTGTATCTCGTTTACATGATGACTGGATCATTTCGTAATCTCGTTATTTGAAGGTACACTTCATGACAATAAAATATACGTGTGATTCAAAATCGCAAACATTACGCATGCGCTACCCGTTCCAGTCCACCGATTTCCCACCGAAAAGTGTGGTCGTTTTGCGTTTACATGATACCGTTGCGAGATTTCGTACCGGAGTGAAATTCTCGCCCCGGTACAACAGCCGGGGTGAACTCACGCCGGGGTGACTGGCGCCGGCATGACATTTTATGGTGATATCATGTAAACAAATGTAGAGCCATGAGAGGGAACCGGAGTAAACTCACTGCGGGGCGAAAGTCGCCCCGGTGTCATGTAAACACCCCCTCAGTAAATCGACACTATCGCCTGATGAAGACCTGCAGTGTGCGGTCGAAACGTGGCGATCAATATCAAAGTGACAATCGTGAGACAAACGATAAAACTAAACCCTTTAATCAGTTCTTGTTTTGCACTAAAGATGCTTTCCAAAGTAAGGGTTTTTCCCGCTTAAAATGTTTGCTTAAGCGAAAAAAAATTGACACAGCATGTTTGTAAAGATTTTCCAAGTCTTAGCCGTCGAGGGAATGGGTAAATAAAGTAAATTTGTCGAGTTTTCAACTCAAAATCTTTTCAAATTCGTGTTTGCGTAATTTGCACGCGAAGAGAAAAACAACTTGATGTCACAACCATGTTTACATACTCTGACGCAAACACACCTCTCGGCCAATCAGAGCGCGCGTACTATCTTAGTTATTTTATAACTGTGTATAGCAGCCTTATACATAAACACAGCTGTGTCTTTTACTGCAAAATTCGTTGTATTGCGCTGCGCGTTTTGCGAACTTCGAAGTTTTGGAGTGGGGGCGGGGTTAATGCAAATCGCAATATTTGAACACGCTCGCCCAGCTTGGCTCGCAAAAAAAAAAAAAATGAGAATGGCGAAGGAAATCGCGATGGTGAGTGGAATTTTTGTCGACGGAAGGAGGCAGACATTGCTTTATTCTTTCAAGTGACAAGACTAAGAAAGATCAGAAAAATGTTCTGAGCAACTAGTTGATTATAGCCCGAAACAGGACGATCACAAGCAACACAGTAATAGACCATTTTACAGTTGTGGGCTTAGTATCCTAGCCTTTGAGTAGACGTGAGGCTGAGGTTGGCCTTGTTTTGTTACAAACCTACTTCCTTTTCTTATGGAAATTATGCTTAAAAATTCGCAGTTAGGATAAGAAAAACCTGATTTACATAATAAAGCAAGAAGGTTTGTATCAAAACAAGGTCAACTGCAGCCTTGTTTTCACCTGTAACTGTAAAATGGGCTATTATAAACAAACTGATCGAAATCTGCAAATCACAAACCATGACTTTTTAAACTCGTTCAAATAAACATGTGTTTTCTAAGAGGTTCGCTGAGATGATTGACGGAACAGAAAAACCCAAAACACCTCTGAAGTTTTCAAAACGCGCAGCGCGATGCAATTGGCAGTAAGTCAAGCATAACAAAAATTTACTATTACTGGCCTGCTATTTTCGATCTCATTTAATATCCGAAACGAACATCTGGATTTCGGATCTCCTCACAATATTAGTGTGCGAAATGTGTTACCATGCCACGAAAATTAATTCTTTTGCCTTTAAGGGACAATTTAACAAGTCGGGGAATTTCCGTATAAGTCAGGGAAAATGTAACTATGTCAAAGAAGCCAGAGGGAGGTAACATGTTCCTGCATATTCAAAGAAGTTAAACATGTTGCATTGGCAGAATATTGTATCAAGAAATTACACGACAAGCAGATATAGGATTTCCCATGAGATTCATCCATTCTGCACTTTACATTCACGATAAATTCATGTAATAAAAAGGTGGAC